CTCCATTCTGCTGTTCAGGGCAACAAAAGAAGATCAGCTGGGAGGCGGGGCAGCTTATTTGCCGGTTCTCCAAACTACTCAAAATTTCCACTACCGGTTCTCCAGAACCTGTCAGAACTGGCTGAATACCACTTCTGATTTAAAGTGACAATAAAGTTTATTCTATTCTGCTTTGTTCTGTTCTGTTCTATTCTATTTCAAATTCTATTCTATCCCCATCTCAAATAAAATGCAAAGCCTCTGGATGGTTCTCAGAAGGAACATATAAATTAATACATACAATTCAATCTCTAAACATATAATTATTACTTATCCTTCTGAATTACTTAATTCTTGATCCCTACAAATTGTGGAATACTTTCAAAATGCTTAGTTGAAAAAGATGACCATAACTACAGTAGATCCAACCTCTAAAGTTTGTCAGCCTTTCTCAGGCAGTTAATCTTGTGAAATTTGCTCTTCTGGTCTGGACTGGAGAGGACATAACCATGATGTTTTCTTGCCCATAATGGTCAAGACAAAATCCTGGTAAATCTCTGGTTAGATGTCCTTATATGGCTTGGTCCGCAGTGAAGATTCCCATTTCTGCTTTTTCCCCAAGTAATTTATTATTCACAGCACATACTTCATCCTTTGAGATGCATGTTGCATGATGAATTGCATGAGCTTCAGGCTGCAAGATGTAGGGTTAGGGGATAAATATAAGAGACAAGCAAGTAACACAGCCACTTACTTGCAGAACAGGCTGGCAGTTAAAAGCACAGATGTAACACCAATGGAGAAAGAAGCTCAAACTATAGCACATGAAAGTGCTTGGTTCTAAAATATACACATAAGTGCCAAAAGAAAAAGGGAGTGAGGAGTAAGCCGAACTGCAAATGTGAGGAAGGAGTGACAATTGCAAGGATATAGGTTTAATATTCTTGATATTGCAAGGAAAATAGGATCCTAAATCCGGACAGCATACCAGAGGTAGGTTGCTACTGGTTGGCCTGGTTCGGCCGAACCGGTAGTGGAATGTTGGCCTGGATCGCAGAACCGGCAGCAACACAGGCTTGCCACGCCCCTGAACGGTTCCCTCGCCGCTGCTGATGTTGTTTTCTAGTAACTGTGCATGCGCAGTTCACTGTAAATTGTTCTGTGCATGCGCGAAGAACAATTTACATAGAACTGTGCATGTGTGAGCAGCGCACATCTGGCGACAAGCGAACCAGTAGCAAAACCGGCAGCAACCCACCACTGCGACACGCTGTTAAAATATTCAACATTACTTGTTTGGATGAAAGAGAAAAAGAATGCATGAGGTGTCAGATTTTATTGCTCATGTCCAAGCAAACTACAAGCAAACAGCGCATGTTATAAAGGAGGTCTTCATTCCTTGCCACTCTAGCAGACAAAGTAAATCTAAAGAAGACAACATCGAAATGAGTACCATCATGTGCAAGATGCTCAAGAAAAGGAATTCATTAAACTGAAATAATGCTTACCAGAAAATATACTGGCAGTTCTACTCACTAAAACTTTAACCAGAGACTGACCCGGAACAAGAATCATGAGAGTTGCAGATTGGATATGAACCAATAAGAAGGGCTGCTGGATGTGTCAAACCAATGATATTAACATTTCAGCACCTGGTGTAAAAGAGGGAAGTATTTTTAATAGGATTTACCGGTACTCCTATTATGCCACACTTGGAATACCGCATCCAGTTTTGGTCACCACGGTGTAAAAAAGAGGTTGAGAAGAAGAGCAACAAAGGTGATTAGGGGACTGGAGGCTAAAACATATGAAAAACGGTTGGGTATGTCTAGTTTGATGAAAAGAAGGACTAGGGGTGACATGATAGCAGTGCTTCAATATCTCAGGGGTTGCCACAAAGAAGTGGGAGTCAAGCTATTCTCTAAAGCCCCTGAGGGTAGGACAAGAAGCAATGGATGGAAACTAATCAAAGAGANGGCGATGGGGAGTTCTAGTCCTGCTTTAGGCATGAAAGCCAGCTGGGTGACTTTGGGCCAATCACCAGGCGATGGGGAGTTCTAGTCCTGCTTTAGGCATGAAAGCCAGCTGGGTGACTTTGGGCCAATCACCAGGCGATGGGGAGTTCTAGTCCTGCTTTAGGCATGAAAGCCAGCTGGGTGACTTTGGGCCAATCACCAGGAGATTGGGAAGTCTAATCCCACCTTAATCATGAAAGCCAGCTAGGTGACTTTAGACAAAATCACCAGGAGATGGGGAGTTCTAGTCCTGCCATAGGCATGAAAACCAACTGGATGACTTTGGGCCAATCAAGGGGACAGAGTTCTAGTCCTCTTAAGCATGAAAGCCAACTGGGTAACTTTGAGTCTATCACCAGGAGCCGGTGAGTTCTAGTCCCACCATAGACATGAAAGCCAGCTGGGTGACTTTGGACCAATCACCAGGAAGCGTGTTTCAGTCCCACTTTAGATATAAAAGCTGATTGGGTGACTTTGGGCCAAGGACCAGGAGATGGGGAGTTCTAGTCCCGCCTTAAGAATGAAAGGCAGCTGGTGCCAGGCCTGGAAACTATCTGACAGCTGAGTGACTTTGGGCCAGTCCATCTTGAGCCGCCTTGAGTTATTTAAAAAAGAAAAGTGGGGTATAAATAAATAAATCTCTCCTGTAACATCACAGCATCCGTCATGAGGCTAAAATAGCTCTGCTTTCTCTCTTCTTTTAGGCTGGCTGATCGCTTGAGGCCTTCAGTGTCGTCCTAAATATTCACTTAACCTTCAGGAATTTTTTAAAAGATGGCCTTCGTTTCAACCCAAGGACCCACTGTGGTCGACCAGACCACCTTAATGAAAAAATACCTCCAGTTTGTGGCGGCTCTCACCGATGCCAACACACGTAAGTTTCTTTCCGCCGCTGGTTTCCTTCGGGCGCAAAGGTTCGAATCAACCTCTGGTGCCAATCGTCCTTGGAAAATCCTGAATTATCCTCCAGAAGGCACATTCTCTCCCTCTCCTGTGAATCCATACAGAATTGCGAGTTCTTGCACCCAGAATTTGAGCCACCCGTGGTGGTGGTGGTGGTGCAAATTGGAGGCTGGGTTACATTTTGCGCCCGAGGGAGGGGGTGGGGTAGAAAATGCAACGTTGGTGCCAGGACGCAAACTCAGATTTTCCTGCAGTGGTGTCGCTTCGGGTCTTCTGGGAGACGTAATGGAAGAAGCAAATGATGATCGCTCTTTCTCTTGAACCCCCACAAAAATCACATGGGTGTGAGTGCGTGGAGAGGAGAGAGATAGTGTGTGTGTGTGTGCACGTGTGTGAAGAGGCGTGGCTGGGAATGGTGATCTGTGATGCATAAAGCGGGGGCCGTGTGAGCCAAAACTGATAAGATCTGATTGCTTCTTTCAGGGGGTTCAAATGATACCTCCCTCCTACAGGTAAGTATGTATCTCAACGCCTGCCTTTCATTCTTGCTTTGCAGCCGATGAAACGAAACTGAAGATGATGCAAGAAGTTAGTGAAAACTTTGAGGTAACTGTCCTGGTTGAGAGGGGAGGGGGGGGGTGCTTGATAGAGCTGGACATTGGGGCCATTGTTGATTGGGGTTAACTTCCTGGTTAGAAAGTTTTTTATTAGAAATCTGGGGGTTCCACCACAAAACCGCGTTCGACTAAAGNTCTTCCTCCCTCCTTTCTTTTGCTTTCATTCACTTTTTCTCTTCCTCCCTTTCTTTCTTTTGCCTGCTTTCTTTCATCTTTTCTCTACCTCCCTTCTCTTTCTTTCTCTGCCTCTTTTTTGCTCTCTTTCCCTCTCCCTCCTATCTTTCACTTTCTCTCTTCCTCCCTCCTTTCTTTTGCTTTCATTCACTTTTTCTCTTCCTCCCTTTCTGTCTTTTGCCTCCCAACCTTCATTCTTTGCTTTAGGTTTTTAAAGGCGCTTGAGGAGGAAGGCGGAAATGACGGCAGCGGGGCCCCTCTCGACTCCTGCCTAGCTCTAGAGGGGGGGGGGGAGGAGGAAAGGACCGGAAGTGGCGCCGCCAAAGGCTTCCGCCGCGGGCAGGTGAAGCAGCAGAGCCAGGGAGGCGGCCGGGTCTCCGGGGCTGCTGCGGCCGCGGAGCTTCGGGGAGCCTCCGAGGCGGGCATGAGGCGGCGGCCGGCGCGGCCCGGGCCGGTGAGAGGAGCCGGGCTGGGGAGGGGAGGGGCAGGAACGGATGGAGGAGAGCCACGCTTCCCCGCCCTTTGCGAAGCGCAAAAGTGGGCGTGGCGGGGAGGCGTGGCCGACGCGAGATTGACAGTCGGGCTTCTGCCGGCGGGATGGGAGCGGGCTGCTTCTCCAAGCGGGCGCCCTCGGGTTTCGGGGACTGCCGCTCCCATCGTTCCCAGCCGAGCTGAGCGTTCATGGGGAGGGGGGGGGATCCTTCTTGCTTCCTGCCATGCGAAAGAGGTGGGGAGTCCTTTAAGGTTTTGGGGCGGGGGGCAGGTTCAGAGGATGCTGAGCCGGATTCAGGGGTGGCTGGGGATGATGGGAGTTGTTGCTTTGTGTTTGGAGCATGGAGTAGGATAGATTCAGCCCTAGTGTGTGTGTGTGTGTGTGTGGGGCAGAGCTTTTAATCTACCCTAGATGCATTGGATTGATCTCTTGCTTTTTGCACAATGGATGGCAGAGCATGAAGTGTTGTGTTTGTCTCTGCAACAACAACCCTGCAAGGGAGGCTGGGACTGGTCTGAAGTCACCCATGAAAGCCATGAAAGAGTTGAGTTTATCCAACCACTAGAGCAGTCTTTCTCAACCTTGGCAACTTGAAGATGTCTGGACTTCAACTCCCAGAATTCCCCAGCCAGCATTCGCTGGCTGGGGAATTCTGGGAGTTGAAGTGCGGACATCTTCAAGTTGCTAAGGTTGAGAAACACTGCACTAGAAGAAGCCGGTGAGTTCTAGTCCCGCCATAGACATGAAAGCCAGCTGGGTGACTTTAGACCAATCACCAGGCGATTGGGAGTTCTAGTCCTTTTAAGCATCAAAGCGAACTGGACTTTGAGTCTTATCACCAGGAGATGGGGAGTTCTAGTCCAGTCTTAGGTATGAAAGCCAGCTGGGTGACTTTGGACCAATCACCAGGCGATTGGGAGTTCTAGTCCTCTTAAGCATCAAAGCGAACTGGACTTTGAGTCTATCACCAGGAGATGGGGAGTTCTAGTCCTGNCAATCACCAGGAGAGGGTGAGTTCTAGTCCCGCCTTAGGCATGAAAGCCTGCTGGGTGATTTTGAGCCAATCACCAGGAGACTGGGAGTTCTAGTCAGAGAGTTCTTTTGTGTCCTTCAAGGGATAACTGATTAAAGTAATTTTCAAAGCAAGCCCCTAGCCAGCTACAGATCTTTCCTAGCTGACATTAAACAGATCAGTGGAAGTACATAGAAAATCTTTTCTTCCCTATAGCATTACAAAGGAGTAGGCCCTTTTAAGCCAATATATAAGCCATTGCTCTCTAAACTATGCAGTATAAGTAAGCTGATACTACATAATAAATCTGAGAAATTTTAAATAGACATCTTTGGGGGAAGGGAAGAATATGAAAATACATCAAATTTATTCTACTTTATTTCCGCTACCTGCAATTGTCCATCTACTTGAATGCACTAAAGAGTATATATATCATGTACCAACACTTTATGAAATAAATTAACATTACAATGATTCTGTATTCAGATAGAACAAAATTTAATGGAAATAGAATGAGGACAGATTTTCTTCCCCACATAGGATTTCAACTTTTTAAAGACTGGGCACCAAATATATCAGAATGCAATTGGATTAAGTTGCAATCCTGTGTTTAGACAAGAAATAATTATGGCTAAAGATACACCTCCACAAATGTATGATCTAACAAAGACATTACTGCCTTTAGGCAATATATACCATTATGATGATGTTTCTACGTTTATATGTTAACCCCTTGGACGCCTAGAGAGCAAACTGCTCAACATAGAAAGGAAATATAGGAGATAAAACAATAAAAAATATTTTATATGAACAGAAGCCAAGCACTGGTTTTAACATCCTTGCTTTTTTTCCCCAATCAAGTGAAACAAATAGAAACTGTAGCAACTGATTAAAGAGATGACTTTGGTGAGGAAAAAATATGTAGCATTTTAAAAAGGCCCAGAGATGTTTAATGGCGTGGTTGACTGCTTTATAGAATATAGAATAACGGAGTTGGAAGGGACCTTGTAGGTCATCTAGTCCACCCCGCCTCGAGCAGGAGAGCCTACACCATTTCTGACAGAGGGCGGTCCAGTCTCCCACAACTTCCGAAGGCAACGCCTGTTCCGTGGGTTGATTGTTCTCACTCTCAGAAAATTCCTCCTTATATCTAGGTTGAATCTCTCCTTGATTAGTTTCCATCCATTGTTTAGCCCTTTCCCACTTTAAGGGGAACGTTTTATGCGTGCAGCGCTCGTCCCACTTTGCAAAGTCAAAAGAAAAGATAAAAGGCATCGAAAAGCCCCAGAGCCCCAAACTACTGATAGTGAAGTTGTAGTAGTCCCTATATCTCTGGGAATCCTCTCCCCTCCCTTCCCGAGGAGTCTGCAAGGTTTAGCTTTGTATTGTGCTGCAAAAGGTTGCATGGATTGGTTGGGAAGAGGCGAGATCGGCGCGCTGATTGGCTACATCCCAGAAGAGGAGGCGAGGTATAGAGATAGGAAAAATTAAAGACTCTGCACCCTTAAGCATGAATCTTCACGCAGGTAACAAAAAGCAAAATCTACGCACTAGGCATTACTCAGGACGATGAATGGCTTTCTTTCTTTCTCTCCCTCTCTCCTTTCTTTTTCTCTTTCTCTCTTTTTCACTCCCTCCTTTCTTCCTTTCGCTTTCTCACCCTCCCTCTTTCGCTTTCATCTTTTCTCTACCTCCCTTTCT